CCAAACACTGAAGATAGAAAGTTGAAGAGCAAACAGATCAGTTTGGGGGCTGGAGAGATGGCTCAATGGTTAAGAACACTGGCTGCTCTTGCAAAGGTCCTGGGTTCGAGTCTTAGGACCTACATGGTGACTAACAACCATCTGTAACTCCAGTTTCAGGGGATCCGACACCCTTTTCTGACTTCTGCAGGCATTGCACGACATAGGTGCACCTACCTACATGCAGACATCACGCTCATTCACATAAAATAAAAATAATAAGCTTTTTTAAAAAAAGAAAGCAAATCATTTCTCCACAGAGCTAACAGTCTAATGAGTAAATAAAGTATAATGGAATGAAATAGGACTGAATGCAATAGGATAAAATAGGACTAAAATCAGACTTCATAGAAGGTTAGAGGACATGTTCCGTTCTTTCTGGTTAGATCAGAAGATGCTAAAAGGAGATCACATTTGAACTTCCCCAGGTGATCCTGGTTGTGTACAGAACATGGTGGGCAGGAAGAATGACTTCTACAAAGACATATAAAAGAAAACACCACTTGGGGAACAATTATCAAAGAAGAGGAAGGTGATCAGCTGGCACGTATTAAATCAACAGTACCAATTCGAGGGAAAAAAACAGAATAGAGTTTTTGAGCAATTTAACCTCTGTTCTATGGATATGAGGGTGAGTCGTATATGTAGGCTTTGGTCAAAAGAGAGAGCTGAAGCTTCAGAGAGACAGCTGGTTGCCATAATAGACAGGGAATCAATACAATTTTTGGATTTTTCTCCCTATGTTAGCAATAGAAATTCTTACTTGAGATAGAAAGTTCTCAATGGGACATTTGAGTGAAAATTTGAAGGAGGCTGCTGGACACACAAATGTGAAACACGCAGTAGAGCTGATCTAGAGGTGAAGATTCTGTAGAATTTGGCATATAAAGGATTAAACTGTGGGCCCAGAAAATTCCACCGGAAATATAGATTTAAACAGCAAAGGAAAAAAAGTCATTGAAAACACAAATTGTAGTTTCTGATAATTTAAGATTAAAATAACCCAAGATCTGGGAGTCATCATGTTATAAAATACAAATACCAAGGATGAAGAACAGTTGTCTAGTGTTTTTAAGGAAGTTAGGAAAAACACATAAAATTAACCCCAAAAGTAATCAAAGACACATCGTTGGGAATAGGTAGAAGTGGATATAGGTTAAATGTTAGCTTATACTGCAGGGTAGGGCATTTTCAATAAAAGTTTCTTTTAAGCCATCTTTAGATATACACTAGCCATAGATAATATGCACACACACACACATACACACACACACACACACCAAAACAGACACTGTAAATCCCTATGTATGAATATGAATAAGAATCTGCTTTCCATGAGCTGACTGGAGAAAGAATGAGACTATGGAGGGGGAAAGGACAGGGAAGGGGAAGTGATTAGACACACTGGCATCTTCTCCAACCAGGGTTACTTCATGGGTTTCAGGCATACAAAGCTTTAATATTCCAAAGTTGAGCACTTATTTATAAGTTAACTATATATACAGAAATTTAAACTAATCAAGATAACAAATGTACATGACCACAGAACAAATTGAGCAAAAAAATGTTGGACTGAAAATTTTGTATAGAGAAGCAGAAAAAGCCTTGCTATTACTCATTAAAAAGATTTTGAAAGTGAAAGTGTATATATATGTGTACACAATAAGTGTACACAACAATGCATTTCTTTATGATATGACATTTTCATGCATGAATATAAGGTACCTTATATGATCAGATTTATTGCTCCATCATCTATTTCCTAGTCCTGTATGGATGCCCTTCTTTCATGCCTTTTTAATATTAGATTCTACATAGGAAAGAAAAGATAGGGTAGATTTTGAATATAAGTCTGGCAAATTTCATTTAATATGGTAAACTCTATCCCATCCGTTTTCTCTCAGATAATGTGGTTTCACTCTTATAAATGTCTGCATAATTTGCACTGTGTATACATACCACATTTTTCTATTCATTCGTTGATGGATATCTACTCTCATTCCATAACTTGACTATTCCATAACTTGGCCACAATAAACAGGGTTATGGAGGTATCTCTGTTGTATGTTGACTTTTATTCTTTTGATTATCTACCCAAGAGTGGTATAGCTGGACATATGGAAATTCTATTATTTTTTACAAGAACTTGCATCTTGATTTCCATGATGATAGCACTAGTAGTTGAATAGAGTGAATGGTTTTAAAATGTCAAGTTTCTTAAATATATTTATATATTTAATGTAATCCAAACTAAATCTCAATAGATTTTACATAAAATTTGATAAGCTAAATATTAAAATTGAATGGAGCCATAAAGAATCAAGGACAGCCAGGACAGTTTTGGGGTGAGAGAGGCAAATAGGAGTGTTCAGTCGGACAAAGGTCAAGATTTACTATAAGATCACAGCTACAGAGATGGTGTCGCTCAGAGTTGGTGACTTAAATATATCCATGGGGGGAAAAATATATTTGTGGCCAAGCATGGTGGCGCACACCTTTAATCCCAGCACTCGGGAGGCAGAGTTAGGCAAACCTCTATGAGTTCAAGGCCAGCCTGGTCTGCATAGTGAGTTCCAGGACAGCTGGGGCTACGGGGAGACCCTGTCTCAAAAAAAAAAAAATCCTTTGTGTACATCTGTGAAAGTAGGTGGAAATTGCAGTAGCTACATAGCAGATTTTTCAACAAATAATGGAGGGAAAATAGAAGTCATGAACATATCAAAGTGCAACTGGACCCTAAGTTCACAATGGTCAAAATAAATTCCATTTGTGAAAGAGAATACATGTAAGAAAATCACGATGCTTCTATAATACACTGTAGGAGCACATGTACAAGTTCTTAGGCAAACACGGAATTTGTAATGCCTTCAGTCATTAAGAGTCAGATGGAGGCCAAGCATGGTGGCACATACCTTTGATTCCCAACACTCAGGAGGCAGAGGCAAGTGCATCTCTGTAAGATGGAGGCCAACTTGGTCTATGTAAGGAGTTCCAAGCTAGCTGGGGCTACTGGTAGACCTTGTCTCAGAACAAACAAACAAACAAAATGACAAAGAGTCAGATTACCAAAAATAGCCAGATCAAAATTAAGATATTTTATTATTGTAATCATAGAAAAGCACACATATTAGCCATATGATAAGGAGTGGTTGTTACCTACACTTTTACCTATTTAAAATGCATATATCCATCTATACTTCTGTGCTTAAGAAGGGCTAGTAAACAGCATCTGTAAAGGCATCTTCAAATTAATTTCTATAGAAATCAATAAGAAATATAAGAAAAACAGGCAAAATGCACAAGTGTCTCCCAAAAGAAGAAAATGAATTGTCCAACAAATTCAAACTATTGTTATATTTCATAATCAATTAAGGAAAATACGAGTTACGAATCTAATATGCTATGTGCCCACAAGAATGGTGAAGAAAAAGATGGACTATCTAAGGTTCTTGTGTCAAGGCCAGATTTTACCAATCTCTCAAATCATTGGCTGGATTATAGCTTGATTGAAAAGCCACCTGGCTTTATCTAGCAAAGTCCCACCCTGAAAGTTTTTCCTTATACATGGAAGTAGGACAAGAGTATAGAGTGTAATGTTACTTTGTGATAATGAAACACTAAGAAACATTCCAATGTACCTTAACTACACAATGAATTGATGAACGACGGCATATTACCATGAAGAAGTTACATGAAAATGAAAATTAAATAAATTAAACACATGAATGTGACAAAATTTTACAAATTTGAATGAAAACTACATTGACTCACACATGAATAGCACTTTCCCATCTTTATAAAAGTTCAGACACGTAAAACTAAAGAACAGCTTGTTTAGTTGTGTTATGTACTGAAATGTAAGTGTAAGGAAAGGTATCCAGTCAGAGCTGGTGGTGCAAGCCAGAAATCCTAACACTCAGGAGATAAAAGGATCGGGAGTTTAAGGTCATTCCCAGTTTGAGTTTAATGCCCAGTCTATGCCACATGTGACCTTATCTCAAAAAAAATGTATGTGTGTGGAGACTGTTAACATTAACACCTCAGTGGAACTGGAAGACAGAGCATTAATGTAGGAAAAGAAACATGAGATTTCAAAGACTATGGTAACACTTTATTTCCTAAGTCAAGATACTTGCTTGAGTGTTCTTTCAGTTAGTGTATTATCAAACTCTGATCTACATATTCAATAACAATTTTGGAAGTTAGAGGAAAACCTCTTTGAACAACAGAATAAGGAAAAAAGATCTATGAAAACACAAGCTTCGGGCTATTAACCCTCTTTCCTAGAATAAGGATGGGAAGGAGGAGGCAGGAAGCTCCTAAAAAGGTTTGCACAGCTTAAAATAAGTGGCAATTGAAAACTCAGGTAAGAAAAAGAGGCTGGTTTACACTAAATACTAGCAAATCAGCAAGCTAAAAAAAAATCAGAGAATATCTACAGAACAAGTCTTTTCAAAGCAGTAGCTAGTCAAGGGATTGTAAAACAAGAATGACAATACAGATCAGTTACACTAAGACATAATTAGATAATGGCCAGAAACCTGTCCATTCATGAAGCGGAAGGCGATGTGCAAGCTAATGGGACAGGACATTTAGGAGGTAATTGTGAAACTCTAAATGTCAATTAGATATAGTGTATAAGGTGAAAACATGAAACCAGTGACAGGGAAGGATGATGACTAACTAAAGTGGGTTATAAAGCGGCAGTGAAAGACCATTTAATAGAAAGTATATATAAACACATATGTAAGCAAGTAGATATGCATATTCTTTTAGTAAACGGGACAGAGATAGAGAAGTCCAAATATGATCACTACAGCAGTAGCAGTCTAATCATTATCTAGAAGTAATGAAATGCTTTCATGCTGTGATTAATTTTATCTCTAACTTTCTAACACAAAAAATTGATATCAAATTATTTAAATGAAAAATAAACTAACTTCATTTACTGTGCTAAATAGTTCCTTCCCGCACTATGAAGTGTTTTAGTAGTAACATGTGACAGCTCCATGAAGATTGTGACTCTAAAAGGGGGTCATGTCACAGGACAATTGCTGACAAGCTGTGAAAACACTTCCTCTTACTGCTAACCGACACGACCATGGACACCAGGCTGCTCACCACTTTAGTTGTTTGTCTCCTGGGAGTAGGTGAGTCCTGAGTGAAAAAAGGAGAATTTGATTTTGGGATTCACAACCTTAACTCTGTTTCCTTCTCTTACAGGGTCTTTTGATGCCCAAATTATCCAGATTCCAAGATATCTGGTCAAAGGCAAAGGACAAAGAACAAACCTGAGTTGTAGCCCTGAACAAGGACACACCCTTGTTTATTGGTACCAGCAGAGGCAGAACAAGAAATTAAAGCTCTTGATTAACTTTCAGGGTCAACACATTCTTGACCAAACAAACATGGTCAAGGAGCGGTTCTCAGCTGAATGGCCCTCCAACTTACCCTCCAGTCTGGAAATCCAGTCCTCAGAAACAGGAGACTCGGCACTGTACCTCTGTGCCAGCAGTCAGTCCACAGTGCTACAATGTGCATTCCCCTTAGTGCACAAGCCTGTCATGGTCCCAACGCAGGAAGCAGGTGATGCTCTGGGTTGAAAGGAAGCAGCAGAAATTAACTGGAGCCAGCATCAACCACAGATTTCACACAAGGCTAGAGAGTGTTTAGTAGTGAGGGAGTAAGAGGCTGACAGTTTTGAAATAGCCTTCTGGGGCCAGACCTGTGAGGACTGCAAGAGTGCTCTCCATATCGAATTTCCCCGTCTTTTTTCTATTTCTGACCATTATCTTTCTCTTTTCATCTTGCCCTCATGCTGAAAATAAGATAGCTAGCAAAGATCACAAATTCAGTTGGCATCCTCCCACCATACCAATAAAGATTAGCCTGGCTCTTTTACAGCTTGGGTTTTAAAATCTCCAAAGAATGAATTTGTGATGATCTAGCATCTCCTCATGAGGAAATACTCAACCATAGCCACACGTATATGAATTTAAAGTCACATAAATGTTGTTTTATTATGGATGCAATTGTGCCACTTAGTTCCACCCCTCCCTATGACCTCCCAGCCCAAGGTGAATGAATGTTTCAGTGTGCTCATCCCATCTGTCCTTTCTGAATGAAGCTGAGCGTTCCATACCCATTTCTTACTGAAAAGAAATCAATTTCCAAATATTCTCCTGTAAGTACTCAGATGCACATAGCATTTCACGGACTGCTATAATTACTGTATGATATGTAATCCTAAACACAATGCTGAGAAATTATATACATATATACATATATATACATATATATTACATGAAGCCTCTTCTGAATCATTATACATCTCCATTCCATTATAGAAGGGCACAAGGCTTTCTCCCATGTACTCGTATCTCCCCATGACATCCACTATTCTTGACTGCACCAGTCTAGCAGTGCTAGTAGAGACAATAGATTGCACAGTTTCTTGCTCTCTTTCAAAGACATCACATCATCAGTTTTATCATAAGATGAATATGGCAATTTAAGAATAAATTCAATAATTTAATAGAAGAGAAAATGGAGGGGAGAGACAGGGAAATCTCATGTGGTACGTGGCCAAGGCTTGAAATCTCAGAAAGCAGGAAGCTAAGGCAAAAGGAAGGCAAGTTTAAGGCCAATCTAGAATAGACAGTGAGTTCCAGAACTGCATGGCCTACATAGTAAGACCCTGGAGAGAGAGAGAGAGAGAGAGAGAGAGAGAGAGAGAGCGAGAGATCACTAATACATTAAGAATATAAGCATCACCCAGTAGTAACATGATGTTTTAACTCTGATATTGTTGATTTTATTATTTCTCACATTATGAATATGTTGGCTACATGTGTTAGTTCTAAGTGAATGTTTAATAGTGCTGTGAAGCAGTAACCTAAACATTCAGACTGCAAAGGGATGACGTCAGAAGGTTGCCAGTGAAAACGTCAAAGCCCTCATACCTTTGCTGTTTCAGTGTGACCATGGACACAAGACTCCTCTGTTGCACAGTTCTCTGTCTCCTGGGAGCAGGTCAGTACTGAGCACAAACGGGAAGTCCTTGTCCTGATATTGCCAAGCTTGTCTGGTCCCTGCTGGGAATTTCTTACACCTTCCATTTCCTTCTCTTCCAGGATATTTGGATGCCAAAGTTACACAAACTCCAAGACATCTTGTCAAAGAAAAAGGACAGAAAGCAGAGATGAGATGCAATCCTATAAAAGGACATACTGCTATTTACTGGTATCAACAGAACCAGAAAAAAGAGTTAACATTTTTGGTTTACTTTCAGAATCATCAGCTTCTTGACCAAATAGACACGGTCAAGAATCGATTCTTAGCTGAGTGGTCCTCAAACTCATCCTGCAACCTGGAAATCCAGTCCTCTGAAGCAGGAGACTCAGCAGTGTACCTCTGTGCCAGCAGTCAGTCCACAGCGCTGAAACGTGCATTCTCCTTAGTACAGAAACTGATCATGGTCCCAGGAAACAGGTGATGCTCTGGGTTGGAAGGAAGTAACAGAAATTTACTAGAGCAAGGTCAACCACAGCATATTGACACAGGCTTGGATGGTGTGTAGACATGAAGGAGTGACAAGCTGAAAGTTTTGACCTAGTCCTGTGGGGCAAAGTCGGGGAAGGCAGATCTTCAAATGACATTTTCCTGCCTTTTGTCTGCCCCGTGCTTTTTTTCCTTGCCCGCTAAACATCTTTCCTCTTTGATCCAGTCATCATTTTTTCCCAAAGATCACACATTCTGTAGGCCTCATTCCACTAAACTAATAAACGTTAGCCTTTTTCTTTCTGATCCTGGGTTTAAAATCTCAATAGAAAAAATGGATTGGTGATTCATTCTTGATTTTCTCACAGAAAATCCAATCTAGCCACACATGTATCTATTTTAATACCACATAACTGGTACTTAATTAAAGATACAAATTTACTACTTAGATTTCCCTCTTCCCTGAGCTGAAAATAAATAAAACGCCCCATGTTTCTAGATGCTGAACCAGTCTGCTCCTTTGAGATGCTGCACAGTACTTCCTCTATAGCTACTTATTCCAGAAAAGGAATCAATTTTCCTCCAGTTTACTACCAGCATTGAAACCGTGGATATAACACTTCACAGACAGCTATAATCTCTTTTTAAATTTTAATTTCATTTTAAAAATATTTGTTATTTTAATTTTTGTGTATGACTATTGTCTACATGTATGTAATTGCACCCATGTCATGAAATGACCATGGAGGTCAAAGAAGGGCATCAGATCCCCTTGAACTCAATTAGAGACAGCTGTCAGCCACCATGTGGGTGGTGGGAACTGAATCTGGGTCCTCTGCAAGAACACCCAGTGCTCTTGGTGAGCCATCTCTCCAGCCCCAACAATTACAAACTTTTAATAGCCAGAAAAATGAGTATTGAAGCACAGAGTATTGTCTATGTGTTTTATTTTTCATATTAACATATTAGTAGAGGACTCATCAAAATGGTTATATATGTCTCCAGTCACACGTAACGGCACAAATCTGTCTTCCATGTCCTCATATCTCCTCCTGACATTACCCAGGGCTGGACAGAGCCACTGTAGCTATGATAATATAGGTGTAATAGATTCAACAATCTCTGGTTCAGTTTCATGATAAAAATGCAGATGATTAAGAATAAAAATCAATAATTTAACAGGAAATGTGGAGAGGTAGAGTTATGTTAAAATACACTGAGAGAGAAAAAAAGATGATGTGTAACAAGCCTATATTGCTGGCCTACCAAGCTGGTGTGGGGAGGGGAGAGAAAGAAAGAGAGAGAGAAAGAAAGAGAGAGACAGAGAGACAGAGAGACAGAGAGAGACAACCCCATAAAGAGAAAGAGACAGACAGAGAGAGAGACAGAGAGAGACAGAGAAATACATTAATGGATTAAGAGTATAAGAATTGCATAGTAGTAATATGGCATTCCAATATTGATACTGTTTATTTTATTATTTCTCAAAGTATATGTGCCATTTATTCAATAAAACAGAAAGAAAATCATTTTAAATTAATAGAATATCAGTGAACCATGTTTGCAGAGCAGAGAGAAGCTTTCCTCCGACACTGTGAAATGCTTTGGTGTAACATGAAGCAGTAACATAACCATTGAGTCTACAAAAAGATGACGTCACAGGAAGGTTGCTGACAAGACTGAAACACCTCCTCCCTTTGCTGTTTCACTGTGACCATGGGCACAAGGCTGCTCTGCTGGGTGGGGCTCTGTCTCCTGGGAGCAGGTGAGACCTAGGCTCAAAGGCAAATCTCTGTCTTGAGATGGCCAGTACCATACCCAAATACTTTTCCTTGTCGGAGTCCCTTCTGATCTGTGTTCATGTCTTCTGTTTCCTTCTCTTCCAGGACCTTTTGATGCCAAAGCCACCCAGACTCCAAGTCATCTGATCAAAAGGAAAGGGCAGAAAGCAAAGATGAGCTGTGGTCCTGAAAAAGGACATGATGCTGTTTACTGGTATCAACCAAACCAGAACAAAGTTGAAGTTCTTGATTTACTTTCTGAATCAACAGCTTATTGGGCAAATAGACATGGCCAAGGAGCAATCCTCAGCTGATTTTCCCTCAAACTCACTGTGCAGTCTGGAAATCCAGTCCTCTGAAGGAGGAGACTCAGCCCTGTACCACTGTGCCAGCAGTGAGTCCACAGCTCTGAAATGTGCATTCCCCTTAGTGCACAAAGCCCACTGTGGACACAACTCAGGAAGCAGGTGATACTCTGGGTCAGAAAGAAGTAACAGAACTTAACTAGAGTTAGCATAAACCACAGCAGACGTCACACAAGGGTAGATGGCATTTAGAAGTGAATGAATGACAGGCTGACAATACTGAAACAGCTTCTTAGACCAGGTCTGGGAAGGCAGCTCTTCATCCTGCAATCTCTCCTCTTTTGCCTATTGCACTTATGGTCCATCCCAGCACCTTTTCCCTTCCATGTGTTTTTATGGTAAGTACTGGACGTGAAGGTCATCAACATTGCACATTCAGTTTCCCTCATTCTATCACACTGATAAGCTAGGCTATTTCTGAGACCAGGTTTAAAATCTCAGGAGTGGGGCTGGAGAGACGGCTTAGCAGTTCCAAGAGTAATGGCTGCTCTGGCAGAGGTCTAGGATTCAGTTCCCAGCATGCACATGGTGGCTAAGAGCTGTCTCAATCTACAGTTCCAGAGAATCTAATGCCCTCTTTTGGCCTCTGTGAGCATTGCACTACACAAGCGCACTCACATACATGCAAAGGACACATACACTAAAAAATAAGTACACAAATAAATAAAATTTTAATACTGTCATGAGAAAAAGTGGATTTTAATGATTTACTCAGGATTCTCCCAGAGAACACCTCACTCTAGCCACATATATGCATTGTTAAATCACATAATTGTCATTTTGTTAATAAAACAATGTTGTCACCTGTATTTCCCGCTGAGCTTAAAGTACCTGGGGACCTTTCAGAGTCACCATACGTCTGCAGTCCCACCTACAAGTGCACAGCCTTTCTCCCATACACTCACACCTCTTCTGACGTTATCCACTGATCAGTCTGAGCCATTTTGCAGTGATAATAGGTTCAATAGATCCTCATTCTCTTGCTCTCTGCCAAGATATCATCAGTTTATCCTAAAGGTGAAGAAGACACTTTAAGGTACAAAAAATGAAGTCAATAAATTAATATGAAATAAGAAGGTGAGAGACTAAGGTGCATTAATATAAATACAGAAATGAAAGAGAGAGGTTAGTGGGAGGGAAAGGGGATTTGAGGGGTTATCAGAGGAGAATATGACCAAAGTACATTACATAGTATATATACATATATATATATGTATATATATATATATACACTGAAATTGTCAATGATAAGAAAAGCTACACAGGAAACAGGCAAGATTCAATAGTTCTTTTTTAAAAAGACAAAAAGGGACATGAAATTG